GAATGTGAAAAATAAATTAGGAAATTAAGTCCAAATAAATATTAGTGTAAAATAATTAGATTAATAAATTCTTTTAAAATAAATGTTACAATTAGAATAAGTTTCTGCCGTTAAAATGTATAAAAATAAATTAAATAAAAAAGTTGACAATTATTTGTTTCCGAAAACTTTTGAGACATACCTTTTTATATGAAATCCTTTTCCGAGACTCTAAAATGTTTAATTGCGTTTTTCTCGAAAACGATTTAAACAGGTATAACAATTTTACATAAAAATTATGATACCTATCATCTTTTATAATCAAAATTACTAAAAAGTTTCCTCAATATTGTTGTTTGTAAGTCAGCATCTATAACTGTACAATTTTATATTATAGAAACTACACTTCGTAAGAAGGTTCTTTCGTTCGTCCCTCTGGTGTAGGAATGAACTACACCAACGCTCACCATACCTTTCGTTTGGCCCGGTGTAAAATCCACTACGCCTTCCTGTCGGCGATGTGGTGTCCACTGGTGGATATTTTCTTCATCAGCTATTTATCAGTAGTGAATTACACTCAACATGTGTGTCAGGAATAAGGAGAAACTAAACTAGGTAAATAAAGGTTGTGTAACTAGTGTAATTTACACTAGTGGACACTGCACCAACAGCGAACGAAATAACCTATAGTGTGACTAGTTTACAATAAATATTATATTTAGACATGAATACATTATTTTACTTACATTAAAAGCTTTAAAAAGACATTGAATTGATTTCTTCTTGTGTTTACTTTAGTTTTACATTTGATTTTTATCCTGTTTTACAATCTGAAACGACGTAAATCTTGCTTTGATGTTTTTTGTCACTCATGTTACTCGTACTCAGGCACTTCTTTTCACATTATTTTGATTCTTTTCATCAATTTTTAACAAAATTACTTTATTTTACATTGACTTACATAGAAAATTGACTGCGTTGTCATTAGACATGCCAATTACAGTCAATTTCGCGAACTTTATAAAAAGAAGGACGGTAATTTGAAATTTGACCATTGCCGATTCGCCTCCTTATCTCTAGTCTTCATATTCGCTGCAAAAGTCTTCAAATCAAAATTAATTGTAATTTTGGTTGCCTAAATATCTTCAGGTCATAATTTTAGTTGCCTCCTTTATATGATCCAATTTAATCATCAGGAATCGCATATATGGCCCCTTTGTAACAAAATGTAAAATAATAAATATTAGTCCTTAACTAAAGTTAAGGCCTTTTGCCAATTTTTATAACGATTTATGAATACATTGTGAAACTATTACCAAAAATTGAAAAAAAATTCTACTTTAGTATCTTTTTCCACAGAAATATTTTATTAGGGCATATTTGGTCCCATCCTCATATTTTGGTCCAAATAACCTGTCCTTACTCTATGACCCAATAGTATAATTAGGTTTATTTAAATTGTAATTACCTTCTATTTGTATTTATAATTTACACGTAGGTAATTAAATTAGAAAACTAGGCTTGTAATATTTAAATTAATGCACTTAAAATTCGAGAGACGCTAAAATGGTGGTTCCCACCTTATCGAGATTGAGACTTATAAGGGTAAACTCGTAGGGTAAGAAAAACGAGAAATGATTTAACGAAAGACCGAAAGCCGATAGTAGTATTAGGACGTTGAATTTTTTGGTTTGTGAAGCATTGGCATTACTTAGGTTAAACCATGTGATGATTTTCACAAGCCTTGATTTTTAAATCCATTCTATATCGCCTTTTGTTTAGTGTTTACAAACTTGTTCGAGCAATTTATCCAATAATAATTGGCCCCTTTACCTCTTAAGCCTGCTCATGTAAAATATTTGAGCTCCTTACTTCGCCTATTTATATAATATTAATAAAGGACAGAATGATGAGTATTGCAACTATGTTAAAAGAAATAAATTGGCTTTCAGTTCAGAATTATGTTCAGTACATGACTGATATTTATTTAAAAAATAAAAATGACATAGTACCATTGCATCAGATCTATTGGAAAAAATTCAAAATAATTCGCAATATCACAACTTTAATGCAAGAAGACAATCTGACTTTCATGTACGACAAGCCACTACTAAAAGTTCCCAAAATACAATTTTTATTAAAGGTTTGCAAAAATTTAATAGACTGTCTACAAAAATTAAAAAAAAAAAACAATAAATGTATTCAAAAGTACCTAACCTCAAACCATACTTGATAAATAAACAGAACGGATATACTTTCTTGTGATAATGCTCTTTAAACCTGCCCTTTTTAAGTATTTCCCATAATTTATTGTTATTTTACCCCGCGTTTTACCCGTATTTATTATAAATTATTTCTGTTTTGAGATCATTTACTTTATTTTAAAAAATTACTTGATGTTATATTAATACTATCTACTCTGTTTAAATTATTAATAAATTTGTGAATATAGGGTATAGCAACTTATAGCCACAAAACTATTTTTGTGTTAAAGTAGATCCATAGAGAATAATATAATTTACAAAGGCCTTCTTTCAACATACAAATAAATGACAACTTTATAATTAAAATAAAAAACACAACAAAATATCTCGGTATCATAATTGATCAAAATTTGAAATGGGTTGATCACATTACGTCATTAACAACCAAAGTTAAAAGATTCTGGTTGAATCTATTTTGCGATATAGTATAATGTGAACTATATATAACTCCTTAATGTAATCCAAAATGGTATAATTAAAATTATCTACAAAAAACCAGCATTATATAAAAAAGTGCTTTGTATAAGAACATTATATTATCTGTCTTGCTGTACCTTTATTTATGGAAAGCCTAAAATTATTTGCAATAAATATCAAAAGAAGCATACAAACATTTTTAAATAATTTGGCATTTAAGAGCCTTTCACACATCACAGTTGACATCTTGATACTTGACAGGCACAGCCAAGCATTATTTTGATTTTTGCCAAATAAAATGACCGGTTTAACAGAGAGCCAATAAATTTGATGAAGGTGTTTTTGTGGCTAGGGGCGAAATAGTAGTAAGCTTAAGTTAGCACCACCATAAAAAAGTCATTTTTAAGAAACTGCTCATATATTTTTCATAAATTGACAGGCTTGGCGACTAATTTCGAATAAAAATAGCCTCCAAAATGGCTATGTTTGCAATTATGAAGGTCGTCGCAACCCGCCTTAGAAATGTCACCTTTACAATCAACAGCTGTTGTTTGATAGGTCGTTGGAGAATGTTTGCAATGTGTGGAATGTTAAGAATGTTAGACGTTAGGAATATTTGGAATTAGTCACATAAGAAATGTATAGGCAGATTCTAAGAAAATTAATATTAAAGTAGTTAGGATGAACCGAAAATTCTGAAAATCAATAGTGTTCTAAGTTAGAAGTAATTATTCAAGAAAGTCAAAACCGCAAGTCAATCAGAACTTTCGTTCTAGAGTTATCGTGCCGGCATACATACACACATACGACCAGACGAAATTTTTTTTTTCATTTTCGGAAACATGAAAAAAAAATTTAAAAAATGGGGGCAAGAAAATTTTTTTGTCTGCACGAATACAATACTGAGGCCCCATAGGAAGGGCCTCAGTAATAATTTAATATAAAAACATTTTTTATGTCAACTATATTTTCCTTTCTTTTCAATTGAATGAATTTTAATAATACATAATATGTAGGATTTTTAAATTTAACTATCCGGTTTGAAATCGTTAATAAATTGTCAGTTGCCTTTATAAAATTTAAATTCTGAAAGAACTATAGAACTAGAACAACTATCATGACAAGCAGCAAGGTCTTTCAATAGATGTCTACTTAATTAAATAATAAATTAACCTAAATTTCGCAAACTTTTTATCGTTTTTTCAATAAATGTTTAATTGCTTCTATTATTAAAAAAATAGGGTTCATATTCAAGACAACAAAAATTTAATTTTTTTTTACCGACCATGGATGAGTTTTATTAATTTATATTATAAGGTACATATAAAATTAAACCAAGACATTAAGATCACAAGATCTGCAACTGTCATATGCCTACTTTAACAATTCGAATCAGATTTTTCAATTTATTAAAATTACAACTGAAAATTAATAAATACTGTTTTCGTTAAATATCCATTAATTGAAAACTACGCGTATATAATTTTCACTATTGTTGACATGACCTATAAACAATCTATTGTTACTTGTATTTTGAGCCATAATTGTTATATTTATTATTACCTCTTTTAAAAGACTTATTATGATTCCTTTATCCATCAGCCTTAATGGTTATGCCAAACTTAAATTAACACGATGTAAGTTTATTATTTATTTGTTTATACTAAAAGAACCTATGAAACAAATATAATTTTTTTTTAAATAGGTAGGTAGGTACTCAATGTAAAAATCTACCAAATTAAAAAATGTTATGTACTGTAAGCTAAATTAAAATCGGCAAAAAACACTAGGATAAACATTTTAATTTGCATATGACAACATTTATATTGATTAAATAACAACTATTACAAATTCTAAAAAACAATTAGGAATTTTAGGTTCCAAGTCCAAAATAAAATGGTATTTCCCGCCATGACATATGGATGTATATGGTTTAATTAAAATTTACAAAATTAATTGTTTAACGTTTCTATAAGAACACAAAAATTTCCATTTTAGTTATCACTGATTACATAATATTTCTATAGGTACTTAAATTGTAGATACTTTTAGGTACTATTATTCTAAATTAAAAAGATAATATTGATAGAATATTTACGCGCCAGTTATACTTTTAAAACTTTATGACGTTGGAATAACTTAAAGAAACAGTCCGAACGAACAATATTAATAGATTTAAAAAGATTATAATTTTTTTAATACTATAAAAATTAATTTCCTCCCTTCTGTTTAAATGTGGCACCACTGTTCGGCGGCGCTTCTAAGCGAATAGCATAGCAATGTACCACGTGTTTTTCCATTTTGGAAAATAAATATACATACAAAAATAGAAACACTCACCTGGTGGAAAGATAAAAGCATGATGAATAAAACAGATTCAAAATTTAAGATGTTTTGGAGAAATGGTCTACAATATCCAAATTCGGCACTACCAAATGAATGAAACGAATTCAATTCCAGTACCAACTGTTGTTGAAATCGTCACGTGGCTGCACCGTGATGGGTCTTATGTTAAGTGGGGACTCGTGACTCGTGCACTATTATAGCCCGGGAAATTTAGCTGAAGATATGGAAAATGCAAGATGAATGAGTTTAAAATTCATGTTTAGAATCCATTGAACGCTAACAGGTGAAATTTCGCCAACAGGTAGTATCATTGAATTTTTCTAGTTTTATCGAATTTGGCATTAAATTCCCCCTAAAGAACAAGATTGGCTTTATTTAATAACCGTTTTGCAGATTAATGAGTTTAAAAGTTGATCATGTTTAATCATCCATAGTGAAGTTTCGCCAACAGGTGGTATTTATTTATTACCCTTTTTAATAACTTTCCAATATTACTACTCGCGCATATAGTTCATTAAAACGCAAAATAAATGCAAATTAATTTAAATTCGTTTAAAAAAATTATTAGAGCACAAATAATGATAAAAGGCAAAATGATGAATAATATAAAGAGAGAAGAATTATAATTGGTTAAATATTATTTAAAACACGTATTTCTGTTTTAAAATAGTACAAAACGTGTTAAAACACAATGTTTTAGTGCAAAACTAAAGCATTAGTCGTTTCAAGAAATTAAAGCGTTAAATAAAAGCAAAATATTTTAAATTAATTAAAAAATAGTCCAAATATCTAGTTAAAATACAAATAGTGCGAAAAAGTCAAAATGGCGAAAAATAAAGAAAGAAGAACAAAAATTAGTTAATTATTCGAAACATAAAATTCTGTTTTAAAATACTGGAAAAAAGTACTTTAGCACAAAACTAGAACAATTATGTTAATAAGAAAAATAATCAATATAAAACGGTTGAATTAGTTGAAATAAGACATTAAATAAAAGCAAAATAATTTAAATTCTTTAAGAAGTAGTCAAAATACCTTATTTAGGCATTAATAGGGCAAAAAGATAAAGTGGCGAAAATAAAAAAATAACTAATATTGGTTAAATATCAATCAAAACTCGTAATTCTGCTTTATAATACCTGAAAACCTGTTTAAGCATTAAAATACTATTTTAGCGCAAAAGTAGAACAATTATGTCAATACGGACAATAAATCAGCATAAAACCGTAGAATTAGTCGTTTCAAGTATTCAAACAATAAATAAGATCAAACTAATTCATATTCGATAAAAAATAGTTAAAATACCCATTTAAAGCGCAAAGTGCGAAATAGGCAAAATATAGAAAAATAGAGAAAGAGGAACTAAATTTGTGCCATATTGTTACTATCCTAATTTCATTTGTGACATTTACTTATAAAATTTGTGGTACACGTTTTATTTTTCGGTATTGCATTGGTTTCATTTTTATATAGCGAAAGACCTTGTGGACATAATTGTATCTTGTGTTTTAAAGATTGTACAAGCATATAGTCTGAATAAAAGAGGAGTTCAATAAAAGTGGAGATATAACGTTACATTCTATAGGCGTACTTTGCAAAATAAGTTTCAATAATGTAAATAAGGTCACGGCCTATAAAATGGTATATACACACTTCGTAGATTAGATTTTGAATGAAAGAAGTTATAGGGGAAAGTCGGCTAAAATGGTCCCCTCGGGTAAAATGGTCCCCTAATATATTTCTCATAACTTATAGAAAACTGCCGTTTAGATTTATTTACTACATTTAGTACTACTATCGCCACCTATGTACGAAGTTGTGAAGATGTGCAAATCGTAGAGGACTAGTTTTATCATAACCTATAAAAACGCATGTCATTTTGTTAATTTCGTGCACACTGAAGTTGTGTTTATAGGCGTTTCAATTCAGGTAAGTAAAAAACGTTTTCGGTTTGTTGCCATTGCTTTAATGATAAGGAGTAACTAATATAAATTCATTTGTATCGTTGTTACGCTTTGAGGTAAAATGGTTCCTTCATGGTGAGGCAAAATGATCCCAAAGACCATTTTACCCTCGCTTAGCCGTCCAAATAAAGTTTTTAGTTGAATAAAAAAAAATTTCATAACAGTCGAATGTATACCATCTTTTCAGGAATAATGGTTAAAACGTACATTCGGAAAACGACAAGACAAGGATGGGATCCGAATTCAATGCGGCTTTATAATATGCCCTTGAGTATCTACTTTAAAAAAACCGGCCAAAAATCAAAATAAATTGGTAAGTGTAACAAAATTAGACTGCTTTATTTCCTAATCTTTCGCTATGTAGTTTTAAAATGTACCTAAGAAGAGAAAGGTCGGCTAATCATCGTACTTTTTTTTCAGGCAAAAGGTTATACAAAAAGCCGTAGATTCACTACAACATTTCCTAAATAATTTGAAATTTACTCAAAGGAGTATGTTTTAGAGATTGAAGATCAACTGTTCGGCATGACGAAAATAAAAACATTTGCCAAATAGCCTACGAGCTTGCGGAGAGGAATAGTATTAGCCATAGGTTTTCTAAAGATAAAAAGTCAGCTGGAACAGCTTGGTTTAGAGATTTTCTAAAGAGACACCCAGATATTTGTTTTAGAACTCCTGAGGCCACCTCAGCTGCCAGAGCGAGAGGCTTTAATAAAGAAGCAGCCGCAAAGAATTTTTTTTCAACAACATACCCGGTGTTCAGTTGAAAATGAGGTCCTTTTGTTGCTTGACGGACATTCAAGCCACAAGTCTGTCCAAGCTATAGAATATTGTAGAGAAAATTCCATTATAATGCTGTTGTTTCCTCCACACTGCACACACGAGATGCAGCCTTTAGATATGGCAGTATTTTCACCTCTAATGGCATATCTTAAGGAAGAAGTTATTTTATGGCTTAAAACGAACCCTGAAAAAGTGGTAACGCTGTATAGCATTGCCAGCTTGTTTGGGAAAGCGTATAGAAGAGCTGCCTCACTTAACAATGGACTCAGTGGATTCGAGAAAACAGGAATATGTCCCTTTAATCGGAATATATTCCCAGATTAGAAATTTAAACCATCCTGCAAAACAGATCGCCCTCTAGTGGAAAATGAAACTGGTGCTCCCATCCGTGAACAAAGAACTCCTTCTCCATAAAGAGGTACTTCTTCACTTCCAAATTCGTTTGCAATAACGTTACCTATATAAGGGAAAGAAAAATTCGTGATATATCTTCAACAAAAGAGGAAAAGAGGAATGGGAGACAAGTGGACAATCTTCAGATGAAGTCAGTCTTTTTGATAACAATGCAGGGGACTCATCAGAAAATGGAACTTTATGCACTGCAGCGTCAAACCCGGAAGTTGTTGCATCAAATCATAAAGTTGATAGTATAAGCCGAAAGTTGGCGATACAAGGCATGAAATTCCATCTTCGTTGGAAGATACCTTACTAATCCCATTTGATATATCTTCACTACCTCAGGCACCTCCTCAAACGAGGAGTTCAAGACCTTCTCAAGGAGCAACTGTTTTTACCTCCACACCAAACTATCTTTTAGTAAAAGACAAAATAGAAACACCCAGGTCAACTTCACAAGCAGCTAGAAAAGCCATAAGCCGAAAGCTGTTTGGAAAATAAATGGGCAAGTTTTGATGAAGACGACGCCGCCTGTACATTTTGCTTGGAATTATTCAGTAAATCGCAGGCAAAGAAGGTTTGGATTGTGTGTAATTTGTGCAAAAAATGGTCTCATTCTTGTGCGCGGGTGCTACAGGACAACAGAAAGTGTATATTTGCGATTTTTGCAAATAAAATTTATCTTTTTTACTTTTGCGGTCATTTTACTCCACGAGGAGGGTCATTTTACCCTGAGCATGATTTAAAATGGTCCCTGTAGAGCTTTTTTGGAATTAAATTATTTTTCTGCTGTTTTTATCATTAGAAATCATGTTTTCAGAGAAATATGTTCCGGTATGTTCGTTATATTGTTTGATTAAATTGTGTTTAAATATTTAGCCTAAAAAATTGTTAAAGGGACCATTTTGCCCTACTCTTCCTTATTATTTATAAAAAATAAATCTTATGTTTCTCAAGTTTAAGTTCAAGAACTACCTTTAAAAGTCACTGTCTTCAATATAACTACTGGTATCATTATCATTCTTTTTTAAGGTTTATTATTATAGGGTCTATCTACTTTCCAAAATTATTTTCTACCTTTTTAGATCAATGCATTTTCTCCAATGTTCTTTATTTACATCTGAAATTGCCTTCAAAAACTAATATCGCTCATCAGGTAATTTAAATGATGTATTGTTTCGAGAAACATAACCTTTTAATTGTGACCAGATCAGCTCAATGGGATTTACCTCTGCGTGGTAAGGAGGCAATCTGAGAATTTCAATTCCTTTTCATCGGGCTAGATTTTCGACAAAATTTTTCCATCAATATTTCCCCATTTAACTTTGTGTTAATGAATGAACAATTTATGATCTCACAGTTCGTTACTGCCACTCTTTGTCCTCTATATAATTGTGATTCTGCGTGTGCTATGGACCATGTCGTCCCCACACCGTTCATTACCGGCTCCAATGTATAGTACAATTGCACATTTAATTGAGTCCGACCCCTTGTAATGACCACCTTAGTATATATCACTACCTCTTTTATCCATACATCATCAACATAACATAAAGATAGAATCACTTCTACACCTAAGTACACTAGCGCTCAACATTATTCTGTACGTTCTATGATGTCCGGCCAGGGGCGCATATATGTAAGAGGAGGTAATGGGGATAATAGTGGTAATTGTGATAATGAGGGTTATGGGGATAATGGGGGTAATTACACCCCCAAAAATTTTTAAAACTAACTTTTTATTGCTACTAAAATGTATTATTATTTAAAATAAAGTCTTATTTTCTATGATGTTTTTCAATTCCTTTCTATGATGTTTTTTAATTCCTTTAACTACTTGTGATGATCATCGAGCTGACCCCAATCTGTAAGATCAAAACATTTTTTTAAGGTATGTTACTAACTTATAATATTTGTATTTATTTTAACTATATGTATCTTCCCTTCAGGCCTGAAGATGGCTCTCAAGCCGAAACCGGTTGCCGGTGTTAACGTTTAATTGTTAATAAAAACTT